CATGTGGTGCTGGGGGATTGAACCGCGGTCCCTGTGCTTTGCTTAGCTTAGCTTGTTCTAAGTAGGTGCTTTAGACCACTGAGCCATCTCACCAGCCCAACAGGCTGGTTCTTGAGACGCTCTCCCTTCCTCCTTCGACGTGAGGCCTGGGCAGTGGAAGGTGATGGCCTGCACAGGGTCCAGATGGGCCAGAGGACCTGACCTGGCTCCCAGTGGCTGGCATCTTTCACTCCTGACACCAGTGCCTGGAGTTCCTGCACTGCAGAGATGCCTTGAAGAGCCCCCACCTGGAAGCCCCACCCACCCCCTTCCTCTTTAGCTCTTCCTTCGAAGAGCCTGGGGAGTGGTGCGTTCATTTATTCACTCAACTTGCTCTCTTGCTCGCAGTTACTGAGCTTTTTCAGTCTGAGTTTTTACGTGTATAGGAGCCAGGGACTCAGCTGTTCTTATACATAGTTATTTGTCTTGTTCATGACATACTCCCTGCTCCCTCATGGAATCAAGAGTGAAGAGGGACAGCAGGCATGGTGACCCAGGCCTGTAGTGCGAGCACTTGGGAGGCGAAGGCAGGAGGATTATCTCAAATTTGAGGCCAGCCTTTGCTACATATCAAGACCCTGTCCCAAAACCCAAAATTTTTTCAAGAGAAGAGCTGGACCAAAGGTCTCTAAGTTCCTTTGCGGAGCTGTCATCCCATCCCCTCGGCCCTCTTATCTCTCCATTGTCAATATTGGCTGCTGCTCCTCTCTAATGCTGCCGGGCTGGGCGTCCAGAGGGAAGCCCCATGGGGTGCACAGGTGCCCTGCTGCCTGCCTCCTTGCTCATCTGTCCCTGTGCAGCTGCCGAGGCCCCATTAGGTCGCTGTGCTCTGAGGCTGCCCGCCTGTCTAGGCGATCCAGCCCCAGCCTCAGACTCTGAGCTTTCCGTAAAGAGTTTTCTGGGAATTCAGCCTTCTCTACTCCTGGTGAGATCAGGTTGCAGGGGACCTGCGGGGGCGGGAAGAGGCCAAACCCCTTCCTGGTCACCCTCCCTGTCGGGACTTTAAATAGCAACTCTGCACCCGCCCGCCCACGCACGCATAGCTCAGCGGAGGCTGCAGCTGGCTGCTGGAGCCTGAGGCCGGCGCCCTAAGCGCTCTGCCCTCGCTCTGGAGGCGCCACCTCCAGGCCATCCGCCCCAGCAGTTCCCTCCGTGGAGATCCTTGCTTCTGTCACGAGGTGTCTGTGGTTTCAAAGCTCATCCCTCCCAGTCCTGTACTTCGGCTCTGAAGGAGAGGGGTGGGGGCCCAGCACCGGATCCCTGTACCACACACTCAGGTGCTCTGCGGCTGTTCTGGACCAGCGCAGCTGGGTGCTGTGTGCTGACCCACATCTGACTCCGGTGGGCTCAGTCCCATTGTGCATTCACGTTTCCATTGAAGCTCCAAGGTTCCTGGCTCCTGGCCTTCCTCTCTGCCCTGCAGGCCCTGCCAGCCTGTCCTTAGATGCCACCTTCAGCTTAGCTTACACCCCCAGCGGGCAGCGCCCGGTCTGGGCGTTCAACCTGATGGTGGCTTCCTGTCCCCTAGGCCCAAGACCTTGCCCCTAGTAGGATTTGCGGAGCCGGGCAGTGGAGAGGAGCCTGACAGAGGTCTGGGGCCCGGGTGGCTGCTCACAGGTGGCCTTTCCTTCTTTGTGCTTGGCTGCTTGGTCTCAGAGAAAGATCACTTTAAACCCAGTGTGATGGCTCACACCCATGATCCCTGTACTCCGAAGGCTGTTGTGGCTGAGGCAGGAGGATCACAAGCGCAAGTCCAGCCTAGGCAACTTAGCAAGACCCTGTTTAAAAATATAAATATAAATATATATATATATATATATATATATATATATATATAGAGAGAGAGAGAGAGAGAGAGAGAGAGAGAGTTAGGCATGTAGCTCACTGGGAGAGCACCCCTGGATTCAATCTCATTCCACTGCCAAAAAACCGCAAAACCCTCAAGCATTCCTGCAGATGTTAAAGTAGTCATGTTAATGGGGAGTGAAAAGGCACTGTAAACTGTGAGGAAGAGGCTGTGCTTCCTCCCCCACTCAGCCAGGCTTAGGGTGAATGGGGCAGGGCTTTAAACTTTGGCCTCTTCGCCCCACCATGGAGCAGCAGCCCCTTCCTGCTGCTCACTGGGACCTGGGACTGGTCCTCTGCACCTGACTTCTCCGGGTGGGAGCTCAGCCCCAGCCCCAGTTCAAAGCCGACTGGAGCCGGGGTCGGAGGTCAGCACCCCACCACGCTCTGCTCCCCTCCCTGCAGGGCGTCAGGTACCGGGGCTCCATCCACGACCACCCGGACTTCGAGCCCAATCAGGATGCGGAGGCCCTGTACAACGCCATGAAGGGCTTTGGTGCGTGCTGGCAGTGGGCGGGTGTGGGAGGGTTTTGGAGAGGTTGAGGCCCCCTGCCACACACCCCTGAGCTTGACAGGCAGGGGTGTGGGGGTAAAACAAACCCCTTCTGTGGTGTGTGTGTGTGTGTGTGTGTGTGTGTGTGTGTGTGTGTGTGTCTGTCTGTCTGTCTGTCTGTGTCAGTGTGTGTGTGTGTCCTGGGGGATGAACCCACAGCCTCATGCCCGCTAGACAAGTGCCCTACCCAAGCCACACCCTAGTCACATTCAAGTTTTTGCCCTCTTTTTTTCATAATCTTACAATAAAGCATTTCCTGCCAACAAAAAGGTATAAAGAGGAATCACCCTGGACCAGCCACCTACACCTTCAGACCTAGAGCGTCCTCCAAGCCGGGAGGCCTTCCAGCGCTTTCTCAGCGCAGGGAAGCCTGGGCTGGTATCACAGCTCCCGGGTTTTCCAAGCTAGGCTTCCTACAAGACCGTGTCAGGGAGTCCTGGCCCCACCCCGGGCCTCGGTTTCTCTGTCTGTGCAGCAAGGAGCTAGGTCAGGGTCCTCCGAGCTCAGCCATCTGTGCTTTTGCACCCCATCACTGGCTCCTGACAGAGGAAACTCAGGCTGTGGCCAGGGAAGGGAGCGCCCAGGTAGGCTTCCTAGAGGTGGCATCAGCAGTGTGACAGGTGCCCTGCTGTCCTCCAGGCAGCGACAAGGAGGCCATACTGGAGCTGATCACCTCCCGGAGCAACAGGCAGCGGCAGGAGGTCTGCCAAAGCTACAAGTCCCTCTACGGCAAGGTGACTGCGGCAGCGTGGGCACGGACGGGCAGGGCTTGTCCCCAGGTCTTCCTTCGTGTTTCTGCCCTTTTGTCTGGAGCCTGCTCCTGCTCATTTCTTCTTTAGCCTCAGATACAACTGGGGCCCCGCTGTACCCCAGGTGTTAGGGCCACAGGGCGGGGAGGGACACAGAATGGGCACCGACAGCTGGGGAAGACACAGTGCTTCCCAGCTGGCCGTGCAACTCTGGGTGGTTACCTGAGGACTGTGTGGCCCCAGGAGCGGTGGCTTGGCGGTCAGATCCAGTGGCCATCAGCATAAGGGCTGGTGAGGTAACTCAGGGCTGCACTGCCCCTCCCCCCAGGACCTCATTGCTGACCTCAAGTACGAACTGACGGGGAAGTTCGAGCGGCTGATCGTGGGCCTCATGAGGCCACTTGCCTACTGCGACGCCAAGGAAATTAAAGATGCCATCTCGGTAAGAAGTATGTGTGTGTGTGTGTGTGTGGCGCGCATGCGCGGCTGCGGCTGTGGGGGGTCCTGGGGGCACGAGTAACAGGGAGATGCCAGGCCCCACAGGGAGTGCGGAGCCCACCCAGCAGATGTGCCCAGCTGAGCCCTGTCCCAGAGTGGGGTCCCAGTCTGCCCAGACAGACAGATGTGGACAGCTGTCAGGGAAAAGCAGGCTCTTGGCTCAGACCCCAGCAGGAGCTTAGAATCCCAAAGTGGCAGATGCAGGGACAGGAAGACAGATAGTGTTCAAGTCACCAGGGAGCGAGCGTGAACGAGAAGAGGTCAGCGGCAGGTGGCTTGGGGCGCATTTTAGGAGGTGGGAAAATCGCGCTGGGCCCACAGCCTTGTGAGGAGTCTGCAGGTGCGCGGAGGTCTTTCCAGGCCGGGGGAGACTGTCCCAAGAGCTGTGGAAGTGCCGTGGGACTCGGGGCCTGAGGACTGGCTTGCCTTGCCTGCTAGAAAGGAGGCAGAGGTGAAGAGCCCCGTCTTACCTGGGACTTCATTAAGCGCTGCTGTCATGAATCCGTCCAGCATGCGTTCATCTCCTGCACTGATACGCTCAGCCACCGGGGCTCACGGCCGGCTCAGGCTGCTTAGGGTTTGGCAGAGCAGCTAAGGGCATCTCCATCTCACATGTGGGGGTGAGAAAACCAAGGCCCAGAAAGACCCTCTCCACAGCCCCTCAGGGTTGGTTGGTTGGTTTGTTTTGCGGTACCAGGGATTGAACTCAGGACCCTGAGCTTGCCAGGCAAGCACTTATTCTACTGGGCTATCTCCTCAGGGTTTTAAAACTTTCTCCTGCAAAGAGCTGGTGGGCCTGCCGTTTCCCTGGTCGTCTGGGACCATGCGTCCGCGTGAGTTCATTTACCTCACTGAGTGAAGCCTGCGGCCTCCCAGCTGCAGCAGTGCTGACCACACCGGGTCGGTTTGCCCAGACGCGCCAGCAGTGACATCCCAGTCCCGTTCCCGGGTGGCCGCTCTAGAGCTGCTCGTGACCCATCTTGTTCTCAGGGTGGCAAAAAAAAATCAAGTTTCCTTTTCTCAAGGTTAAAAGTACCATTGGGAAGAGGACTGGGGACTAGGAGCAGCTCCTGAGGGACAGGAGGGCCTACACGGTTGCCCAAGAGTGAGCTTCTTAATGAGAAGCCACAACTGCAAGCTGCTGGCAGAGGTGGGAATAGAACCCGTGTCTTTGCGTCTCAGGGCAGCAGCTCCGGATGGAGCCTTCGAGCTGTGGAGAGAATGCTGAGGTCCCTGGGCTGGAGGTCTCCTGTCCCCGGGAACCCCTGACTCACACACCCCGCTTCTCCAGGGCATCGGCACGGACGAGAAGTGCCTCATTGAGATCCTGGCTTCCCGGACCAACGAGCAGATCCACCAGCTGGCGGCAGCCTACAAAGATGGTGAGGTGTCAGGGGGCCCCCTCAGGAGCCTCAGATGACAGCCTGTCGAGGGTGGGGCCCCTAAGGCAGCCCCACCCCCTGCTTCCCATTGGTCCACTGCCCATCCGGCTGTCCATTGAGCGCCTACTCCTTGGACGGCAGGGCACGAGGTTCTTGGGATATGGTGGTAGACGGGTACCAACGCAGTCCTGCCCCTGCAAGCTGCAGACCTTGAGAGAACAAGACAGTAGACAGGTGATCAGATTAACAGGCTACTCACACGCCGTGGAGGCGAAGTAGTGAAGGAAAGCGGTAAAAATCAGACTCTGATGAGGAAGAACCTTCCTCAGACAGGTGGTCGGGGGAAGCCTGGCTCAGGAGGAAATGAGGAGCAGGGGGGGTGACAAGGGGACAGATGATGCTGTGGGCAGAGAAGGGCAGCTGCAAAGGCCCTGTGGTAGCCATGAGCCCTGTGGCCAGGAGGAGGCTAGAGAGGTGGAGGGCAGGGCAGCCTTGCACACGGCCTTGAAGGCCGAGAGATGGTGTGCTGTTTGGAGTCCGAGGCGCAGAGGGCTCAGCGATTTGGGCTGATGGTGTCCTCTGAGGACAGTCACAAAGAATAGATTGTGGAATCTGTAGCAACTCTGTTTATTTCTGGGGCCATAAGGAACCTTTGTCCTGGGTCCCCAAGCCCCTGGAGATAAGGCTAGAGCTGTTTTCTATTGTCCTTCCGGCAGCCTATGAGCGAGACCTGGAGTCTGACGTCATCGGTGACACCTCCGGGCACTTCCAGAAGATGCTCGTGGTCCTGCTCCAGGTTGGCCCCTCCTGGGCGCTTGCTCCCCAAGCACAGGCCAGGGCGGGAATCCCCTGCTTCCACTGTGGGTTGGGCAGCCTGCCCAGAGCCCGCGGTGCCAGGTCCTTCTCCCGTCCTGTGCCTTCCTTGCCACCCAGCCCACCCCAGCCGGCTTGGGCGCTGGGCCCCAGAGCTGAGGTGCTTTCTCCGGCTCTCCTGTCGTGGAATCTGAGAGCCAGGGCTCCACTCCCCTTTCCTGGGTGGCCCAGAGATGTCCAGGCGAGCGAGCACTGTGTCAGAGCCGGAGGGTGTGGAGGCGGGCCTGGCTTGGCAAGCGAAAGGAGCCCAGCCTGCCTGATGCCTGCTCCCTGTGAGCAGCTTCCTGCCTCAGCCTCCCCCTATCAGATGGGCGCAGGGTTTGGGTGCCAGTCACCCGACGGCTCTCCAGTCTCACCGCTGGGAGCTCAGGACTTGGGCCCTAGGCCTAGACCCTTACTGTTAACCTTCTGGCTTAGGTGTGGGCCCTAAGAGTAGGAGGCACGCGTGCCGCCTCTTGCCCCTGTGGTGCCATTGCGGGGAGGCGCCATGGGCCTTCCGCCAGGTCCATCTGGAGCCAGGTCTGGTCTTTGGAGTTAGAGGGCTCCAGCTGCTTCCTGGGCGACTGGCAGAGTAACTTGGCAGAGGACCTAGTACTCCGTGTTGGACCACAGCTGGGGGTGAAGGGGGAGGGCTGAAAGTGGGACCAGGAAGTCCCTGTGGAACAGACCCTGCACTCTTGGTCCCCTGGCAACTGAGGGCTGCTCCTGACCTGGTCACCTTTCCTGGGCGCCTCTGGGTGCCCCGGGTCTCCGAAGCCTCCCTGCTGCACTGCTGGCCTTCCTCCCAGCTCATGGCATTTGAGCCATGGACTCTGTCTCTGCTCAGGGAACCAGGGAGGAGGACGATGTGGTGAGCGAGGACCTGGTGCAGCAGGATGTCCAGGTAAACAGGCCAGGCCAGCAGAGCCTGGGCGAGGGGAAGTAGCCTTGAGAGGGGAGGGGGACTGGGAAGGGCTGGGGCACCGTGTTGGTATCAAATACCAGAATACTCCAGTTGTGGCCGGACTTTCTACAGTGCTTTGTGGAAGAAAAGATTTAAGTTCCTTCAGAAATACAGAACAGGGGTTGGGGAGACAGCCCAGCAGTCTAAGTGCCTGCCTGGCAAGTACAGGGCCCTGAGTTCCCTCCCTGTTACCACGTTCCATGCTGGCCCCCAGACCAGGCGTGGTGGTGCACACCTGTGATAAGAGGATTGCTCTGGGGAGGCTGAGATAAGAGGATTGCTACAAGTCTGAACCACATAGCGAGACCCTATATCAAAAAAAAAAAAAAAAAAAAAAAAGTACAGAACATGCGAAGTTGGTGAGACATGATTTGGAGCTTTGTTCATTCCAATTAGTATGTTTTTTGAAACAAAACCCCCACTATGCACAGTGCCCACTGTGAAGCACTGAGGAACATGTTTTTGTAGCAGAAATGCCATCTCTGTGGACTGCCCTCCGGTCCAGGTGTTTGGGGTCCCCACTGTGTGGCCAGGACGCTGGCAGTGGAAAATGGAAATGCTGAGACCCCGGGCCTGGAAAAGCCTGTGCAGGAGTGGGTGGCAGACATGGGAATAGAGCCCTGCAAAGCACAGGAGATAACAGCAGGACTGAAGCAGGGAGCTGTTGGCATCCAAAGAGGGAGGGAAGCAGAAAGGACTCTGCCTGGCTCATAGTCGGGGTCACAAAGGTTGAATAGGAGCTTCCTCAGAAAGGAAGGAAGGAAGCGGGGCAAGTTGGTGCATACCTGCAATACCAGCACTTGGGAGGCTGAGGCAGGAGAATCCTTGCAAGTTTAAGGCCAGCCTGGCCTACAAAGTGAGTTTAAGAGCAGCCTGCACTATATAGCAAGACCTTGTCTCAAAAAGACAAAAAAAAAAAGGAAGGGAAGGGAGAGAAGCGGGCAGTAGGGGAGGAGGAATTGGAAGGAGGGAGGCATGCGCACAGGCCCGCGCCGGCCAGCTACTGCTCTGCAGGGAGTGGGAGCAGCTCCAGAGCCCCAGCCTGCATGTCCCTTCTTCGGAGGTTTCTTCCTCCAGTGAAGTCCCCATCTTCCCCTTCAGGACCTGTACGAGGCAGGGGAGCTGAAGTGGGGGACTGACGAGGCCCAGTTCATTTACATCCTGGGAAACCGCAGCAAGCAGCATCTCCATCTGGGTAAGAACCCGGGAAGGCCTATGGCCGCTCGCTCAGGGTTGTGCCGAGAACCCGCTTCCCCTTCCCCTTCCCCTTCCTACGGGTGGGGCGTCACAGCGCCTTCACCTCCAGCCCAAACACCGCCCGCTTTATGAGAGAGTCCACAATTTTATTAGACCAGAGCTGTCCACAGGTGCCCTGTCCTCCCCCGTGTGCCAGTCCCTTCTCGCGGCAGGATTCGGGGCAGAATTCCTCCCCAGCACCCACAGGGTGGCCACACAGTGGCTGTGGAGATGGGTGCCCTCCCAGCCACCGCCGGTGAGCTCTGGCCTGGTTTCCTGTTGGTGGTCAGGGTCTCGCCTGGCGCCCTCCCCTCGTGAAATCCCCAGTTCTCCTCAGTGTTTCGGGTGCTGTCTGACATCCCGTCTCTCTGTGGCTCAGTGTTTGACGAGTACCTGAAGACCACGGGGAAGCCGATCGAGGCCAGCATCCGGGGGGAGCTGTCCGGGGACTTTGAGAAGCTGATGCTGGCTGTGGGTACGTGGTGGGGGGGGGGCTGCAAGGGCTTCTGGGAACAAGCCTAGGAGCAGGGGGACTGAGGATGGAAAGAGTCGGGTTGGGGATCAAATGGGCCGTGACTTCTAAAGGTTTAGCCAGGGAAGGGAAGGAGGTTGCACCCCGGGGAGTGACAACCTCCCATCCCTTTTCCAGTTCGGTCAGGGAGATGGAGCCCTGAGCTTGGGGTGGGCGTGAGGGAGGGTCTGCCGTGCCGGAGCTGGGCCTGCTGCTGCTGCACGCCAACAGCCCAGCCACTGTGGAGGCTGAAGCAGGGGAATTGCAAGCTTCAGGCCAGGTGGGCAGGTCAGCAGAAGGACCCTGTGCAGAGCAGAAATCAGTAGGCTCTGACGATAGCTCAGCGGTAGAGCACTTGCCCAGAGTGCACAAGATGCTGGGAGACCCCGTACCATTAAACGCACACACACATGCACACACACGCACACATGCACCAGCAGTGGAGCCTGCTGTCTACTTCACAGAAGACGAAACTGAATCTAGGTACTTTGAATGGGTTGTATTTGAGGCACTGGCCAGTCCGTGCCTCATCCATCTGGGAATGGAGTCCAGATTCAAACCCAGGAAATCTCCCAGATTGACTGTTGGCCCTGGGGCAATTTGCTTAGCCTTGCTGGGCCTCAGTTTCCTCATCTGCTAAGTGGGCTACCTGCCCCAAGCCCTTTGCAAGACCTGCGTTCCCAGGTTCTGCATGGGTGTATGTGTCACTGGTAGTTTATATGCTTGTAGTTGCAGGGAGAGCTCCAGCCCACCTCAACTTCTTGCCTGGAGCTGTTCCCTGCCAGCTCTGAAGTATTCAGGTTCTGCACCACTGCCTGAAAGATCCGAAGTGCTTTGTTGCCAGTACCTTTCAGGCATAGCAGAATCTAAAGACAAACCTTTCCTTTCCTATTTCTATTCTGGACTCTACCCCTGACCTGGCCCAATTCTCTGAAAGTCCTTGCCCACCTGAGAGACAGGAGGGACGAGGAGGCCACGCAGCCTCCTTTCCTGGCTTCTTGTGCATTAGGGGAGATCGATCTCTCTCTCTCTCTCTCTCTCTCTCTCTCTCTCTCTCTCTCTCTCTGCTGGCACTGGGAATTGAACTCAGGACCTCATACTTGCCAGGCAGGCACTGTGCCATTGAGCTGAATCCCAACTCCCCAGGCCTCCTGGTTTCTTTCTTTCTTTTTTTTTTTTTTTTAAAGGTTTTGATTTTTTATTTAGTACAGGATCTACAGGGTCTCATTACACAGATCAGACTTGTGGGGATTCTGTTCCTAGCCTCCCAAGCTCTGGGATTACAGGCTTGTGCCACCTCGCCCAGACTCAATTGCGGCGGGGCGGGGGCTGGCACGACACATTGGACATTGAACCCTGGCCCCTGCGTTTGTCTAAGCAGGTGCTGTAATCTGCTGAGCAATCTCGTTAACGTTTTATACTGCTAAGAACATGCTTCAAGTATACACTTAAAAAGCCTTGCACATACAAATAAATTATTTCAAATTTTAAATTTTAACAGACTATTCATTTTGCCCCCTCATTATGCCTTAGGCTCTGCATTTGCAGTGGTGAAAAGTAGTTTTTAGGGCGTACAATCTATATCTACAGATATATACAATGATAATGTGTCAGCTGAAAGTAAATTTAAAAAATGAACAGCCTGAAATACATGATTCATCCAAATGTATACTGGGTACCTCAGCCCTCTCAGCTCACATTTGTGGGTGATAAAAGCAAAAATACAGAGGTTCCTGGTTTCTTTATGCCCTGAGTCTGTGATGAAAGCAAGAAGATCTGAATTGCTGGGGGTTCGGGACGATCAGGAAGTTGGGGTTCTTCTTGCATCTGAACATTGGCTCCTACAAAATAGAACAGAGTAGCACGGGGCGCTCCTCCATCCCAAGGCAGCAGGAGTCACTCACCTCTCTCTTGCCAGTGAAATGCGTCCGGAGCACCCCTGAGTACTTCGCTGAGCGGCTCTTCAAAGCCATGAAGGTGCGTGGGGAGGGTCGGTGTGGGTGGACTTGGGGGAGGGGTTCTGTGCACCTCTGAAGCGAGTCCCTCAAGTCCACCAGCCAAAGAGGGCCCATCAGAATAGCCCCTGGACTCTCTAGGAGTGGCTTTCTGTCCTGGTGAGCTCCCAAGCATGGGGTGCTGCCTGGTGAAGTATCCTGCCACCAATCAGAGGGGACAGTGGCAGCCTCTACCACATCCAGCCAGCCCACACTTCTAATAAAACGGCAGCTAACTGGGATATTTGCACACGGAGCATGTAGGCAGGGCCGCTTGTGAAGCACCGGGCAGTCTCTGCCCGGACCCTGAGGCTCAGACCCACAAGCTGTCAGAGCTGTCGGTCCGTCCAGGTGTGTCCAAGAACAGGGCTTCCCAGGCTTTTGCACCTGTGCCTCACAGGGAACCCCGTGGGGTTTCTGTGACATGGCAGAGTCAGCACACACGCCCGTTGGCTGCTGGAGCCTGAGGCCAGGAGCCCAGGCCTCGTGGGCCTGTGGGCCACCCTAAAAGGGCAAGATGGCCGTCCATCATCTCTGCGGGTGCACAGCGAGACGGGGCAGGCCCACCTTCAGAGAAATGCCCACCTCGGAAGGCTCCTTGTGGCACTGTCAGCACAGAGAGGCTGGCAGCAGCTGGCATGTGTCGAGCAGCAGGCAGAATCATGCACAGGGCGCCGTATTGCCAAGCGCCAAAGCACGGCTCTGAATCCGCAGCTGAGTTACACAGCACTCATAGAGTTGAGAGGAAAACCAGGACGAGAGCGATGTGTGACGGGGGAAGACGGCTCCCAGGAGCAAGGAGGGTGCATGCGAAACTTGCAGGGAACGTGAACGCTTGCCTTCCGTGTTCCTACTTTTAGTATTTTATTACAAGAACTCTGTTTCCACGCAAGCTGGAGGCTGTGAGCATGCAGTCCCCTCCCCCAAAGCTTTTGCTAGGTCTTGCTTGTCTTCCAGGGCCTGGGGACAAGGGACAACACCCTGATCCGCATCATGGTCACCCGGAGTGAGCTGGACATGCTCGACATCCGGGAGATCTTCCGGACCAAGTACGAGAAGTCTCTCTACAGCATGATCAAGGTCAGCATCCCTGATGGCAGTGGGGAGGGCACCAAGCCAAGATGGGCTGGGGCCCCACTTGTGGGAGGGAGGCCAGTGTCTGAGGAAGCTGGGGGTCTCTTGGGAATTCCAGGAGCCCCTGCCTGGTGGCACTGGCAAGAACACTCAGGTGTCAGAGGGGCTTGTAGAGGTGAAGCTGAGCAGGCAGACAAGGTGGTGGCTGGGGTGCAGCTCAGCAAGAGAGGGCAGGGCTGACCAGATACAACCTGATAGGAGGGTGGGAACTCTCCCGAGGACACCCATGAACACTGTGGCCATGGTGCCCCTGGGCTGCCAGTGCACATGGTTCTGCCCAGAGGCAGGAGCAGAATGAGTTTTATGAGGATGACAGAGATCCAACTTTGCTGCCAAAATCTGCTTCCACAGAGGGGTTTTTGTAGTGTCCACAGGAATACATCTTTTTTTTTTAAATATTTTTATTTATTTATTTTGCATTTTATTTTTTATTGTGTGTGTGTGGCCAAGCTCAGCCCACCAGGGGGCGGGGCTGGCTGGCATGTGGTGCTGGGGGATCAAACCGCGGGCCCCAAGCGGGCCCCAAGCTTGTTCTAAGTAGGTGCTTTAGACCACTGAGCCATCTCTCCAGCCCCAACACAGGAATACATCTTGTCCATGGGACACATCTTATTCCATGGGGACGCATCTTGTTCATGGGAAAATGAGTTTGATACAAATTAGAATGAGCAAAGGTACACCAGAGTGTTCACCCCAAACCTTCTCAGAGCCTTTAGTTTCTGAGATATATCAAAGATAGAATACAGCACTAGGGAAGCAGGAGTCGGGCTGCTGTGAGTGAGGGGCCCCCAGGCTGCGCTTGGGGCAGGCGCAAGTCACCTCCCCTTCTCTCCCCAGAACGACACCTCTGGCGAGTACAAGAAGGCTCTGCTGAAGCTGTGCGGGGGCGATGATGAGTAAGTGGCCCCTGGCTGCTGGGGCGCGGTGGCCTGTGCTCTGCTGGCCTTTGTGGATGGGTAGAGCGGGCTGGGAGAGGGGGCCAGGCTGCTGCTCCGAGCTCCAGTGTGTGTGTCTGGACCTGAGCGTGGTCTCCCTTACTGGAGCTGTCTGCCTGTGAACTTGGAAGGGGTCAGCCTCTGCCACCCTCAGCATACGGGGGACTGAACACCACACTGATTGGCGTGGTGCTGTTAGGGGCCTTCCACAGGCCCTGTGAGGAGAAAGCTGGCAGCATGGGGGTGCAGGTTGAGCCCTGAGGGGCCATCCTGGGCAGAGCTGAGACCTGAGAGGCCAGGCGAGATACAGACTGCAGGGCTGGGTGGAGGGAGGGCCTGGAGAGAGGTTTGGGGTAAGAAAGTACTTAGAAAAGGCCTGCAGATCTGGAGATGGGAAGGATGACTGAGGCAGCCCTGAGGCCCTGTGGAGAGAAATGGGCAGACGTGGGCCATGCTGGGCCTCTTTTGGGATGTTAAACTGAGCCAGGGGTTGGACAGATTAGGAATTGTGGGTGCTCTGGTCCACCACTGGGGCCGGTGTGGATCAGCGAAGGGATGCGAGAACCTCTGATTCTGTTCAGAGAGTGATTCATCCAAACATCTCACAGGAGGTGTGGGGTTAGCCGGTTAGCCTGGGACAGAAGTCAAAGGGCAGACAGGAGGTGGCAGGCATGCAGGAGTCCTTCCTGCTGGGCCTGGGGCTGAGAAGGCGGAGGGAGAGCTCGCCTTGCAGGCCATAAGGAGGCTCAGGAGAAGGGCAGGACGGAGGGAGGGCGCTGGATGTGCTGGAAAGGCCAGCTGGCCGGGATTGTGTGTGCTCATGCACGTGAACGTGCGTTAGCACATCTGCACGAGCACGCATGCACCTGCCGGGGGTGACGTTCCCTCTGTCCCTCCCTCACCCCTCCGTTCCAGTGCTGCTGGCCAGTTCTTCCCGGAAGCAGCGCAGGTGGCCTATCAGATGTGGGAACTTAGTGCAGTGTCCCGAGTAGAGGTCAGCCCCTCCCCACTCCTGCTTGACGTCCCGACCACCGCTGGCTTCCACTCACACCTTCCTGCTGCTCCGGTTGGCTCCCAGCTGCCCCCTGGCGGCCAACCCGAGATAGCGCACTCCGGGCTGCATTTGGGGCGCCTGGTCCCTGCGTTAATTTCTAATGCTCTGGGATGCGATTGCCTGCTCACTACTAACCAGTGCAGACCGGCTGGCTTCGCGGGAGGCCTGCCCCATCCTGTGCGTGGCAGGGTGGCCTCACAAGCTTACAAGCCAAGAACAGATGGCCCTGGGCCCCGAGGAGGAGCCAGGGCTGTGCTGCTGCACGTCCCCGACCCAAGGTCCAGAAGACAAGCGCCAAAGGCCATGCAGCAGCCCTGGACAGAGCAGGCCAAGCTCTCCCACCTGGCTGCAGAGCAAGTTTGGGACCTGGGAGTCCTGTTCCTGGCAGAGCCCCTGTGTGTGCGGCTCTAAATAAGGGGTCAGGCTTGGCAACCTGGGGGACCAGAGAACCGAACTCTGATGGTCTAGGACCGAGTTCGCCACAGTGTAAGGGTGTGGTGCTGGGCTCCTGCAATCCCAGCACTCAGGAGGCCAAAGCGGGAGCCCAGCGAGTGAGACCCTGATACAAAATATTTTAAATACGTTAATGGAAGTAGGGATTGTAGCTCAGTGCAAAGGCTCTGGGTCCAGTCCCCAGGACCACACACATAATAATCTTATGAGGCAAAAAGTGTCGCTTCAAGTCATACACAATGGCATATATCGTAATCCCAGCTCATTGGAAAGCTGAGACAGGAGGCAGCCTGAGCAATTTAGCAAGATCCTGTCTCAAAATAAGAAAAATAAAAGTCGTAGGTTGGTGCGGAGAGCTGCAGGTCCAATCTCCAGTACCATATACATAGGCACGAGTGTGCACACGTGCACACACACAGTCCTTGCAGATGATCTTAAATTGTGTGAGAAAAAGAGCTTCCTTGGGCAGTGAGCGGCCCTGCTGGTGCTCCAGAACCCCAACTTTCACAGTGAGGAAGCGCCTCCTTGTCAGTGTCCCTCTGGTTATGCCGAGGACACAGCCACCCCTGTGCCGTGAGACCCGGGGAGTCTCCTCTCCAGAGTGCTAGGAAGCAGGCTTCTCGCTTGGACCTTTTGCCAAGCATCTTGTTAAGTTGGGCGAGTTTTGTTTTTATCGCATTTATTTTCATGAGTGATAGTACTGATCTTCTAATTCATGACAGCAATAGAAGATTACTGTCATCATGAAGTCAGTTAACAAGGACTTTTTGTTAAGTTTCTTGAGTCCCACTGTGCGTCAGATACAGCTCCAGGCACTGCAGGACACACCAGAGGCAAAGCAGACACAGACCCACCCTTGGCAGCAGTAAACGCCCTCCAGAGTGGATGCCCAGGGCTGGGTGTAGCTCAGCCGTAGAATGCATGCTTAGCATGTGCAAGGCCCCAAATCTGATGCCCAGGACCAATAAAAAATAAAAAAATCAGTCCTCCAAAACAGTGTATTTACGAAGAACAGAAGAAGTTGAATTTGCTAGAAATATTTAAAAACAGCGTAGGCTGCATACAGATACGGAGAACAAAGTAACTGGAGCTGGGGAGACTCCTGGTGGCCCTGAGCCACTCCGCTGCCTTCTCAAGGACAGCAGTCCAGCCAGCAGCAGTGCTGGAGCAGGCTGGAGTTCTGAAGGATTTGGGGACCCCAGGGAGCTGGGACAGAGCTCCGCCCTGGGCAGCTGCTGGCCACTTTCTCCTGACCAGCACTTGCTCCACTCTGGGCCTGAGTGTGCTCTCTGTCTGTCTGTCTGTCTGTCTGTCTCTTCACTGGTGCAGGGTCTCTCTGCTGTGCCTTGCCCCTGCCCCTACCCCCACGCTGCCTGGTTTGGGGCGGGTGGGGAAGCCCCCCACTTGCATGCTCCTCCTCTTTCTGGTCCTCCGCCTCTGCTCCCACCCACATTCTTCCTGCTTCTCGCAGATGAAGGGAACTGTGCGCCCGGCCAACGACTTCAACCCTGATGCAGACGCTAAAGCGCTGCGGAAAGCCATGAAGGGACTCGGTATGGGGGCCGTTGGGCTGGGTGGGGGACTGGTTGTGGCCTCCAACCACTGTCCCAAGTCCTGCTTGCCTGGCACCATCCCTACGGGGAGGAGGGTGTGGGAGGGTTTGGGAGGAACTCGACAGGAATCTTTCCTAGAGACCCAAGGGGTCCTGCGGCCCGCTGGGTGCAGTGACCTGCATCTGCCCTGGCTGTGCTGCCAGTTAGCTGTGTGATGCTGAGCCACGCCTCCCAGCCCTCTGGGGCCTGGATTCCCCGCTGACTCTGAACCAAGAGCCTTGGTCTTGGGGCAGGAGCGCCCCCTGCTGGTCAGCTGCTTCAGGCTGTCATCCAGCTGTGTGGTGGCCCTCAACCTGCCCCCCAGGCAGTGCCCAGGAGCCCACGGGGGACAGGAAGGGTAGGGTCCTTTTCTCCTCCCACCTGTCCAGCAGGGAGTCCCAGGACTTCAGGGTCAGACCCTAGCGCTCCTAGGTCCCTCTGATGGTAGAAGTCAAAGTGCGTAAAAAGACTGAGTCTGTGCCGCAGTGAAGCGATGGCCTTAGTGTGAGCCGGGACTAGAACTTGAAGCACGGACTGCAGCCGGGCTGTCTCCCCTACAGCTGGCCCTTCACCCCTGCTGTGGCAGGAGGAAGCGGGAGAGAAGCCAGGGAGGCCAGGGCCTTGGCCTCGAGGCCAAGGCGCCAGCTGAGGGCGTCAGGAGCACGTGCCTGCCAAGTGCCAGATTGGGGGGGACCATCTGTGGGGCCCCTGGGAGGGAGCTGCGTCCAGGTCTCGCTCTGAGGCGGGTGGCTTTGATGACTCAGGGACAGATGAAGACACGATCATCGACATCATCACACATCGCAGCAACGCCCAGCGGCAGCAGATCCGGCAGACCTTCAAGTCCCACTTTGGCCGGGTAAGCACCCTGGGCCTCCCCGCAAAGCCTGGCCATCGCTGCCAGCTCCGCACATCCGGGTGACCTTGGGAGTCTCCAGTGCAGGACTCAAGCTGCCTCGCATCCCCTTCAGGTCCCCCAGTTGCCTGTGATCGGTGCCACTTGTGTGAGGTCGCCCCAGAGATGGTGGTTGTTTGCACGCAGTGATTTGGGGGACTCACAGTCCTGGGGTTCACAGACAGAGAGAGCAGCTTCAGGGCCCCGAGGTTGTCTGCAGTACCACACCCAGGTGCCATCTGCCTTAGGCTGACCAGCTTCCTCCCCAGTAGGCACAGTGTTCCCAGCCACTGCCTCCAAGGACAGCATGCCTGCCTCGTCATCCAACTATGAAGTCCAACATTAACAGAGGCAGATGCGGGCTGCCATCGCCCACGCAGAGCCCGGGCCCCTGCCGGCTTCCACCCCTCGGGTCAGGGCTAGCAGCACAGGTGCTGCCATGGCTTTGTTCTTCCCACTGTGCAGGACTTAATGGCCGACCTGAAGTCTGAGGTCTCCGGAGATCTGGCCCGGCTGATCCTGGGGCTCATGATGCCGCCAGCCCATTATGACGCCAAGCAGCTGAAGAAGGCCATGGAGGTACAGTGAGAACCCCAGGGGCATGGGGTGGGTCTGTGGCAGTGCTGGTGGGGACACAGGGAGTCTCCTTGGCCCCACTGTCAAACTGTAGCTGCAATCATCTCTGTCTGGATGTCCCAGGGAGCTGGCACAGATGAAAAGGCCCTCATTGAAATCCTGGCCACTCGGACCAATGCTGAAATCCACGCCATCAATGAGGCCTACAAGGAGGGTGAGTAAGGCTGGGCCTTGGGTGCGCCCAGCCCTGGGTCAGGAGAAGGATCGAGGTTCATGGGGCATGCGGCACATGATCCTGGCGGTGGAAGAGCCGGGTGGAGGTGGGAAGGGAGTGCATTCCAGGCCACTGAGGTAGGGCAAGTGATCCAGGGTGCTCTCAGAAGCACCCCCTACTCACCCTTCCTCTGGGCCATCACCATCTCGAAATGTCGAAACGAGTGGCTTTGAAGTTTTATTCTGAAGAACTTTGACAAAAAAAAATCAAAACCAGATTTTCTCTGATAAGGGCTTTAATTAAAGCAGTAGGGTTTTGGAGCTGGGAGTGACCTGGCCTGAGCTGTGCTTTTGGGATCTAGCAGCTGAGGTGGGGGTGGGGCTCCTGGCAGGGCTGTCACCATACACCAGGGACCAGGAATTGTGTCTGACATGGCGGTTCGATGCCCCCGAGGGCCACCTGCAGACTGCTTCGTTCTCACCCCTCCTGTGACACTACTCTGGCTCAGCCCAAGCTTTGGGGCCCTCTGTCACCCAGTCTGCCGGCGACTGGCTACCCATACCCCTTTCTCTGCCCCAGACTATCACAAGTCCCTGGAAGATGCCCTGAGCTCAGACACTTCCGGCCACTTCAAGAGGATCCTCATTTCTCTGGCCACGGTGAGTGATGTCACAGCTCAGGCAAGGAGCAGAAGCAGGGCTGCTGAGTGCAGCGGGGGCAGCATTTGTCTCCTCAGGGCTGCACCATGACCTGTTGTTCACTTTCCGAGTGGCTTGGGGCCACCTCCCTGACGGCTGGGCCTCTGCCCGGCTCCTTGAGTCCCCAGCTCACAGGACAGAGCCACCTGAGTGACCCACTCTGCGCTACCCCCGAGTCCCCACCCTGTGAGTTCCCAAGATGCTGACTCACACCAGGGAGGGCTCAGTGTGTCAGCCCTGGAAGGCAGGGTCCTTGTCACTATGTCAGAGAGGAAGGGCTGGATCTGCAGTGCCTGAGGGGCAGGGACTGGTAGGTGTTTAGCAACTGACTTTTCCCGCTGGTCCTACTGCAGGGAAACCGTGAGGAGGGAGGAGAAGACCGGGACCAGGCCGGGGAAGATGCCCAGGTGAGACTGCGGCCCACACTTGGGTGCCCCGGGCAGTGGCCATCTGGGGATGTGCAGACCCCCCTGGCAGGCACAAGACTGGCTAGATTGGCACACACAGGATCCAGGCCCCTCCGCCTCTGCCTTTAGATGAGAATGGGAAACCTGTCACTGGTCAGCTGGCATCTGCTGTGTGAATACTAGGGTCATGGGATCAGTAAGAGGTTGTCCTGGTTACACTGGGAAAACGGAGGCCAGGTAAATGACTTCTAAAAGTCATATACGCAGGATAGAGACCGAGAGAAAGAGGGAGGGATCTGAGTGCTCAGTCTCCCTGTGTTACCTGTAAAACGGGGTGAAGGTGGGAAAGCAAGTCCAGGGAGAAGCCCAGAAAGCCGGTTCCCCATAGGCCACCGTCTCTTTTGTGCTCTCTGACGCATCCAGTGCCACACTCGTGCTCAGTACTCCAGTCGTTTGCTGGCTGACCACGGGGGAGGGGCCCTCTGGGGTGCTAAGCTTCCGCTCTGCTGCTAGGCTGGGGAGTACAGGTCGGGACCAGGCTCTCGGGGAGGCCAGGCAGCCCCAAACCCAGCCTCCTGGCGCGTCCTACGGCTGTCCAGGCATCCAGCTTGGCTTTGGAAATGGCTTTCAGGAGCTGCAAGCTCCATTCCCGACAATATTGTAGTTGCACTGCGGGTGTATTTGTGGAGTTGGCCTGACAGCAGGATGGCTTGCTGGGATCACATGTCATTCATTCAGCAAAGGCTTATAAAGTCATGCTATGAGCAGCCTTATTTGCTAAGAACTTCAGTCTTCCATCTCCCCTCAGACCCACCCTCCACCTCCAAATTCACCTAGGGGGAGTGGCGAGTGTGTGTAAGGGTGTGCTTTCAGTTGGTGCCCGCAGGGGGTGCTGGCAAGAAGGGGAGAGAGAGAGCCCCAGGGCAAACTGGGGCAGCCTGGCGCCAAAGCCAACCGGAATCCGCTCCAAATCAGGACGCAAGACCCTGATCGCAGTGTGGACTGGTTTTCCTACCACCAGCAATCTTTCATTTCTCAGATAATAACCTTTTATGGAAAATATAGGTGAAAGAAAAACCCCTAACGTGATAGTAACAATCTATTAGCATGTATGGAAATTGTCTTTCCGCGTATGATTCCTGATCTCTAACTGCTAATATCTACCGCTCTGCGCATATTGCTGCATATCTTTTTCTGTTTTTGGCAGTACTGGGGATTGAACTCGGGACCTTGCACTTGCCAGGCAAGCGCTTGTTCTACTGAGCTGTCTCTCCGGCCCCCTTGCTGCATATTTTTCAAATAGCGATAATAGCTGATGGTCAGGACCGTTCCATATCGGAGCCATCCTGCTTCATTTCACAGCCCTCTTCCCAATAGCCAAGATTCCCTCGCGCTCTGGTTTTCCCGAGGTGCAAAGAGAATGCTAAGGCAAACTGATACAAGAATCAGAGGTGGGCACACGAGGGACAGAACCGCTGCCTGCCTTAGACGCAAACGCACGGCGTCCGGGGCAGCTTGTTTGCTGGCTGTGCTGCCCCTTCCACTGGGCAGCCGTGGCTGCCTGCGAGCCAGGCGGCTGCAGCGGCCGTATCCACCTCTGCCCCCCATGACTGATTGTTAGTCCTGCTTCCCCGTCCGCTAATGAGGATGGGCCCACCACAAGAAGTGCTGTCTTTATTTTTAGATAGATAGACAGTCCCTAGATTTTTAAAATAAAAAAACATAAAAGCTTTCTGTTAAAATATAATTCATATTCCGTATTACTAAAGCATTTAAAGTGTACCGTTTGCTATGAAAGATTCTGTATAATTAACATGCAAAAAAGCTTGTTAATAGGTAAAATTACTATAACTCTAAAGTAATCATTGAGCTGGGTGTGGTGGTGCACGCCTGTAATCCCAGCACCCGGAAGGCTGAGGCAGGAGGATTCATGCAAGTTTAAGACCAGCCTGGGCTACACAATGAGCTCCAGGCCAGCCTGAACTGCACAGTGAGGCCCTGTCTCAGAAAGACTTGGGGGGCGGGAAGGCCAGGGATATAGCCTAGTGGTGCAGAGCGTGCCTGGCAGGC